GCCGAGGCCGCCAAGCAGTGCAGTCCCTGCTCGGCGGCGGCGCAGAGTTCGTCGGGGCCCGCGGCGCTGCCCTACGGCTATTTCGGCAGCGGCTACTACCCGTGCGCCCGCATGGGCCCGCACCCCAACGCTATCAAGTCGTGCGCGCAGCCTGCCTCGGCCGCCGCCGCCGCAGCCTTCGCGGACAAGTACATGGATACCGCCGGCCCCGCGGCCGAGGAGTTCAGCTCCCGCGCTAAGGAGTTCGCTTTCTACCACCAGGGCTACGCGCCCGGGCCTTACCACCACCATCAGCCCGTGCCTGGCTACCTGGATATGCCAGTGGTGCCCGGCCTCGGGGGCCCCGGCGAGTCGCGCCACGAGCCCCTGGGTCTTCCCATGGAAAGCTATCAGCCCTGGGCGCTGCCCAACGGCTGGAACGGCCAAATGTACTGCCCCAAAGAGCAGGCGCAGCCTCCCCACCTCTGGAAGTCCACTCTGCCCGGTAAATGTCGCCCCTTTCTCAGCCCCAATCCTCCGGCTCTGCTCCAGCTTCTCCTCCCCTCGCTCCTGGATCACCCTGGTGCCCCTCTGCTCTCTTCCTGGCCTGCCCTAGCGGCATTGCACCCCTGGGAGCCCGACCCCCGGCTGGCTGGACTGCCTGCACTGTTCTTGAGTCTGGCTGGCCTCTGGCTGTCCTTGGGTGAGGGATGACTGGGAAGAAGCTTGTGGGGCCCCTGGCTGGCTTCCTTCTCCTTCTGCGCCCCGCCCTCCCTAGCCCTTGACATCGACTTAAGGATGGGAAATTGACCTGGAAACGGTTTAGCAAATTGCCCGTATTCTTTCTCTCAAAAATGGCTTCAGTGTAGAAGCATCAAGTGTTGCGGCTTGGGGTACAGAAAAGAGCCAGACATTGAAGTGTTGTCCCTTGAGCCAGGCGCTAAGGTGGGCCACTGGGCCAGGCGATCAAATGAACCCCGCGCGCTGTGCCGGCAGGATGGCCCGGCTGGGGTGGTCATTGGAGCTCTAGGCGATTTCATTTCAGTGCAGAACTAACCACTTACCCCACTGACCCTCCAGGTTTGGGCACAAGGCTGGATTGTACAGCGCATTGCAAAGGGCAGCCGGGCACTCCAAGGCGGGTGGCTCAGATCGAGATGTCGCCTATGTCCTGGCCTGGGTCTGATCTCTGTGTAACTTGCGTTCTCCCCTATCTTCCAGACGTGGTCTCTCATCCCTCAGACGCCAGCTCCTACAGGAGAGGAAGAAAGAAGCGCGTCCCTTACACCAAGGTGCAATTAAAAGAACTCGAACGGGAATACGCTACAAACAAATTCATTACCAAAGACAAACGGAGGCGGATATCAGCAACGACGAATCTTTCCGAGCGGCAGGTTACAATCTGGTTCCAGAACAGGAGGGTCAAAGAGAAAAAAGTCATCAACAAACTGAAGACCACTAGTTAATGGATTAAAAGTGGAGCAAGAGGGTCACTTGAAGAAATGCTTCAGAACTCGTTGCTTGGCCAGATAATGGTTATAATACTTAATAATAATTGAAGAATGGGAAAGAGAAAGAGAGAGACACTGGCATTTTACTTTCCTAAGGGGGGAATCGCACTCTTCTTGGTGGAATCTACAATTCTTTTAAAACTTTAAGAAATGGTAAAGACTGCCAGTTCTCCCGCCAACCCCACCAGACCATTAAATGACAAACTCTAGAGTCAAACGTCAGCCCCCAAATACGCAATTTCAGATAAGTTACGCATTTACTGAAATCTTGTAAGTATTTATGTGACCATTATATTCTAGGACACTATGTTATATGGTAATAATCCGAAAGTTGGTTACAAAAGCAAGAGGCTGTTGTAAACATCTGCTTGTCCTTGGGTCCCCATGGCCATCTCCTCTGCATGTTAAGTGACTGCTCAGGTAAATCCTAGTGAAGTTCCTACCATTGTTGTATATTCTGCAAAACATGTCAAGTATAGATTTAGAGGGGAAAAGAGAAAAAGGTACTGAAATAATGATCTTGGACTATTTACTATGAAGGGAGAGAAGAAGAGAAAGCTCTTCTGAGGATCATTTGTCCTGGTAGTTAATACAGCCAGCTGAGCTTTTGAGCTACAAGGGAACGCCAGGTTGGGAATGTCCTTCTGATAATAATTTCTAATTGCTTCTAACAAGCATATTTTGTGGCATTTGGACAATATTTTCTGCTTCGATATCAATTACTTTCCAAAGGATTTGATATCTTCTTGAAAAATATTTAACACATCAGATGATTCACAGAATTCACTTTATGTCAGATCTCCCGAGAGGTCCCACCCCAACATGGTGGACTTTGGTTTGAACACAATTAATTTTTCATTTAAATTGGTATTTCCCAATATTTACTAAATATTTTGCTGGAGAAATAATTTTCCTTTTTAATTTTTTAGAAAACTCAGAACAGAAATCCATTCCCCCCAAACATTTAGATGTTTACATTCTATATTTTGATCTATTAAGAGATTAGTATTTTTCCTTGTTTATTGTGTTATGAGACCACATTAGAAAGTTTAGGGATTCATCTTCACAGCACATTTTTAATCGAGCAGTTATTTCAACCAGCACATTCATTTTGTTCATATTCATTATAAAATGCTATCTTGTAAATAAAGACATTCAGCACACTGTGAAAATGTATTTGTGCACCTGCTTTTAAAATATTTCTACTAAAAATAATAATTAAAAAAACTTTAGACCTGTAGATAGTGATACGGTGGTATTAATTATGTTAATAAAATAGTCACTGCCATTAAAATCTGAAGGAAATACTCATTATTTTCCTATGCTAAATGTGCACTGCACAGAAAGAAAAGGAGCAGGTTTGTCCTATACGAACCAAGGACCATTCTTTTCTATTATTATTCAGCTTTTTTTCCTACAGTTTTTTGAAGCAAAGGGAGAAATTCCTCATAACTAAAATCCTAAAAATTTAGGTAAGTGTTCAAGAAGGTTAAAGTGTCAGATATCCTAAAAGGGACAAAAAAGAAAGGAGGAAGCGATAGTATAAATTCCCAGGCTCCCTTTGGAAAATGAAAACCAGTTGTTTAGTATCAGCGATGCCCAGGCTGTCGTATTTTAAAATCTGTTGTTGGGTCTGCGTGTGTCTGAGAGGGCAGGTTTTGATATTTGTTGAAATGACAAGACTAGGAAAGGCCTTAAACCTTGACCTTGACGAAAAAAGACAATTTGTGACCTTGACTTTTGACAGCTCATGAATTGGCCTCGGCTGGATTAGTAGATCAAGGGCGCCACCTCGCGTTGACAAGCTTCCTTGTAATTCTTCAGCTTCAAGGGAATCAAAAGGTCTTACCTCCTTGACTCCTTGCTTTGGAGATTTAGTACTCATTTCTTTGGCTCCAGATGGAGTAAATTTGAATATATGTAAGTTATATATGTGCTTGTATATATGTGAATATATATCATATATGTGTATACATGTATACATTTGCATATCAGTGCTTGTGTGTGCTTGTATATATATTTGCAGAATCTGTACAGATATAGTATCATTAATTACTGATGACCCGAGATGTTGTAATTGGAGGTGATTTCTGGAGTTAAGGTACAAAATGTACTTTACATGATGAAGTTTTGCTCCTTTTCTTTAATGGACAAATTTGATTTGTCTTCATAGTGGCTTGCTCTGCATCAGATTTCTGCAGCTCTGCTCTAAAGCTATACATTTTTGTTACAGTCCAAGAGGTGTTCTTAAATAACCATTCTTTCCTGGCCCTCACCCTCCCAGGTGGTCTTCCATCCTAATTAGAGCTATAGGGGAGTCTATACGGCAAATTAAAAGTTTCAGATGCCTTGCTAACTCTAGAGTTCTAGAGTTACATTTCAGAAATTCAAAGAAACCCACTTCTTAAGAGGTCAGTATGGAGAACATAAAAGATCTCATATCCACAAAATAACCATAATATAGATGCAGAAGGAGAATTATCCTGGATAGCTCAGAGCTGAGTGCAGCTCCTGGGTGGTGTGCAATCTTACACTGATGCTTGGGAAGCTGCCATTGATTTCTGGAAGAAATATATACATTTAATATTAACAACCATAGTTTTGATACTTATTATCAAAACTGTGATAATAACTATTATATCTACTACTTATTGACCCCTAACAATACATCAGGTGCTGTGTTTCGAGTCATAAATAATACATACATATGTATGTTCACATATTTAATATACGCATAGGGTAGGGTAATGTGTTTTTGTCAAATCTATGGTATACACGTATGTACTGAAATGTTGGTAGAACCAGGAGTCTTAGGATGCAGAATTTTGAGATGAGGGTAATTTTATCTTTATGTTAGAGAAAAGTAATTTTGAACCGGAGAACCATATTCAGCATTTTACGGAAAATAACATTGGTTGGTTACAAACCTGGCTGATGGAACCTCTCCAACCTGAGGACTTAGAGCTTCATTATAGATGGAGAATTTTAGAAAGAATCTCTCAAGCTGTCTCAAAAACAGCATGGTCTGGAAGCATACATATGGAATGGTCTTGTGAAGTGCAATCAAATTTTGCTGCCCTGAGGATTTTCACTCCACTTGTGGAAACAAATGGAAATGATGCTTCAGATCAGCCTCCCCACATCTTGTTCCACAACGCTCCATTTTTAAATGAGTTGCCATCAAGCCAAAGTAACAACTTTCTCCCAAAATGTTTAAAGTGGTGGAAAATCCCCTCAAAGCTGGATCAAACTGTGTGTTTACGAACAGCTCCAAAGGGGACTCTTCTGTTGACGGGGGATATTTTTCCTTAGATGTAAGAAATATTCGGAGCCTCGGGCCTAGGAAGGAGGCCAACAGCAGCTCTGCAGCCGAAATACCGCCCCTTTCACAAGCCATCGCCACTGCAGGAACTCTGGGTAAAGTAGTAGTTTTCTTTTTTTCTCTCTTCAGTTTTTGAAATTAATGACAAGGTATTTTAGAGGGCTTTTTTTCCCGCCTGTTCTAAAATGGTTGTTGATAATGTCGATCTTACCTAACTCCAGTCTTGTTTAAAATTCCCATGGATCTACCAGATAACGTGAAGTAAGCATGGATTATGATGGCTCCCTCATGCCCAAATAGCTATTAGTCTAAACCTTTAGAAAAAAGACACCCAGGAGGATGCCAGCCACCATATAGAAAAAATAACACCAGACACTGGGATAGTGTTGTTGAATAGCTGATTCAAGTACATTTTTTTTTCCAAAAAGGAAAACTTTCTGAATAAGAAATTGTAAATGTGGAAACAACTAGACACCTTTTTCATCTATTAAATTATCAAAGATTTTGAATCCTGTAATGGCCTGTCATGTTGCCATTTAAAAAATTGTAAATATGGGACTTAAAAAAAAACCCCTACTTTTTCCATCTGCTCTTAATACTGTCAAATTTACTAAGATATTTTAAGTGGATGATTGTAAAATGTCACTTTGCATTTGACTACTATTTATGCCTGATGCAGAGCTGAAGCCATCCATTTAAAATTGTGTGGGTTTTTTTGAAAACAGGGGAAAAAAATTTTTAAAGAGAGATAAGAAAATTATTTTTTAAAATTCAACCTAATTGAGATGTTTTCTTAAAAATTCACGAGGCAGCAAAATTCGTCTGAGGGTGATACATCTGTGTGCTGTTAGTTAACGACACGGATTTCACCGTATAATATATATGCTTATGACCCCCTGCTGAGTGTGTTTGGAGAGTTTGGTGAAGATGCGCGCCTCAGATTCCTCTCTGCGAATTCCCGAGTTGCGGAGCCCAGACAGAGGCTGCCCGGGACTGCTAAGCCCCAGACCCGGTGGGTTCAGAGGCGCCCTTCCGGATTTGAGGACCTCTACCGAGGAGATGCTAGGGGCTTGCTGATTTATGCGCATTCCTTTAAAGTTGATCGAATGCGTGTCAGCAGCCCAAGACCTGGAGAATCAGAGAAATGTGCAGCGAGTTGCTCACATCCCATTTTTCATAAGCAAAGATGTAGTGTTATCCAAGAGGCCCGGGGAGATTTATGCCTAAGTTTTAGGACAGGCACACAATAATTAAGTTTTTATCTGCTAGGCCGCCGGGTAAATAACAGCCGGCTTCCTTTTTTATGAAAATACCCGGTTTCTGATCGGCTGCTTCAATCCCTGCGCATCTGCTTAGCGCCGACGAATGCCTGAAGGGTGTTGGCTATTTTTAATTTGATTTTAAACGGAAGAAAAAAAACGCTGGCACAGAAAAATGCCTCCGTGAAAGCAGCCAAGGCCTTGCCACAGTTGATTTCATTTCTGCCCGGGTCCGTCGCGCCGCTCAAGAGCTGGATCCACCCGGCAGAGATCATTACCACGGCGTCTCTGAGACGTTCAAGCCTCTGCGGGCGGGTGCGCGGCGGCGCGGGGCTTCCCCCGGGAGCCGGGTGTGGACGCCCCGGAGGAGCGCTGCCCTGACGCAGAGCCGCCTGATGTCGCGCCCCGCAAGGCCAGAGGCGAAGCTCAACATCCTCCACGCTGCTAAAAGAACCCTCTACTCAAAATGGAGGCTCAAGCTCTTACAGAGCCGGCCTCGCTCGCTCGGCTGGTGGGCCAGAAGGGGCATGCGGCAGGACCTTAGGCCGAGGTCAAGGCACCGGACCCCCAGGCCCGCGCCGGGCTGACTCTGCAGGGCCGAGCATCCGCGCCGGCCGGTCGCCCCGCAGCTGCAGGCTGACGTCATGGTCGCCCAAGCGGGCCTTCGCGGGCCTCCCTAGGCGTTATTTGATGAGGACAAGCCGATTCAAACGAATGTTTTGTGCGGGTGCCCCCTTCTCCGCCCCGCCTCTCCCTCCCCAAGAGAATAATCGGGTATTTAATCTCTCCAGGTCTTAATTCTTGGCAGCGTGGAAGGTGGCTTGCAACGGGAAATAAAACTTGACAGGAGCATTTTTCTCTAAAAGGGGTTCTGAGACGGGCTGAAAAGAAACCGTGTTTTTCTCTACCAAATACTTCCGCTTTCTGAGTCCGGGGCTGAGGGGTGGGGTGAGATCCGAGGGAGTGGAGAGTGAGGTGGGCACGCAGGGCCACGTTGGAGACCCGAGCCGCCAAAGCCGGGCGCCCGGGGCAGCCCCGGGTCTCCGCCTGGGCCAGCGGGCAGCCTAGGGCCTCGCTGCGCCCCGCGCCTCTGCGACGCTCGGCTCGGCTGTAGGCCTGGCGCCGCCCGCAGCCAGAGGCCAGGACCCGGCGCACGGGAAGTTGGCACCGGCAGGGGCCCGGCTGGCACCCAGAGTGGTAACCCGGCGCTGGCTGAGTGTGGCTGGGGTCAAGCGAGAGAAGAAGGCGCTGGGAAGGGCCTTAGACCGCTTAGCTGTAGCTCTGAGCCTTTTGGCCTAGGGGAGCTGGGGACGAGCTCGCAAAGGAAGTGGTGAGAGCACTGCTGGGGGCTTTTTCAAGGCTTTGGGTCTGCGGACACTGCACGAAATGGAGGGGGGAACAGGGGTGAGCGGCGCAGCATGCGTGGGTTGTCGGGGCTGCTATTGGGTGGGAGAGGCTGCGGAAAGCAGAATCCCCCTCCAGGCAGCTCAGAGAGCGCTCTCCCCTCGCTCCGCAAAGGTCAAGTCCTCTGCGCCATGGCCGCCTCCATGGTCAGGGCCGATCGCGGTGGCGGCTGCAGGAAGGTGCAGGACGCCCAACCGGCCGGCGGCGAGCGGGTTCTGATAGCCTGGGCTTGCGGACTCGAGGCAGGGGTTCTTTCTTGGTTTCCAACTTCATCGCCCCCAGCCCTATTGAAAAGGAGTTCCCACAGCCAGGGGTGGCCAAGATGATGTCTCCATGGAGTCCTGGAAGAGCAAGGTCCAGGAGACTTCCTAGCCGTGGAGGCCTAGCCTGGGAGAGAGGCAGCGCCTGCAAGCTCAGGAAAAGGTCGTGGCTGGATTGGAGTTCTGGGCTGCGGTAGAAACAAGGGACCAGGCAGGGCCAGGCCGGCCAGCTGGGCCAGGAATAGGATAGGGGAGCAAGGACCCTGCTGGGGGCTTCTCGAGGTCCCTGAGTACAGATCTGCTCCCTCAGTGCATGGCAGGCCTTTGGTGAGACCTGTGATGCTCTTCTTCTCCTGCTTAAAATCTGGCCCAAGAAGTGAGGTGCACTCTGCCAAAGGTAAAAATCCCTGACTCCAGGGCTCCAAGAGCCCCCTCAGTGCACTCTGGAGGGATAGGAGCCCCTTCTGTCTGCCCATAGGCTGCCTGCAGCAGGTCACCACATCAGGCCCAGCGGTCAACAAATAGTTTAAGCCGGGTCTGCCGCTGAGGTTATTGCTCCAGGTGAATCATAGAGGCCCTGCAAATGATTTCCTCTTTTTTTCACGGAAGACAGAAAAGCTAGGCTTTATCCCTAGGGCTGCACGGGTGGAGCAGGCTTTGAGGGGACACTAGCCAGAGGGATTGTCCTTGGATGGGTACCATCACAGAACTGCCTGGCAGGGCATGTGGGGGAGACTCCTAGGGCAGGGTTGGGGACTGGGCAGGGGCTCGCTCTTCTCAAGTCTGGAATGGGAGCCATGGATCACCGATACGTAGAAACAGAGGAGCCTGGGGAATTGTGCTAGGAGGCAGCTGGAGCTTGGGGCATGGGGGCGTCCTCTGAGCCACAGCTGTGGGGACCAAGACCCTGAGGGCCAGAGCTGGCCGTCTGGTTGGGCCGCCCTCTTTGGTCCTCTTTATTGCAGACACACTCGGCTGGGGAAACCCGTTTGGGCCGAAGTTGCAGGGAGAATGGAAGGCAGACGCTGAGAACCAGGGCTTTGCCCTTCAAAGTTCCCCTCACCCCATTTGTTCCCCCTCAGTAGGGAAAAAAATTCTTATCTAATGAGTCCACAACGATAACAAAGTAGTTCTCAAAGGAAGTAACCCTCCTTCTCCCATCAGTTTGGAATCTACTAAACTAAATAACCAGATTGTTTGGGTATCTAAGACCCTCAGCTGAACCCTATGCCCTGTCCCTCAGTACCCAGGGGAAGGATGTGGACTCCTTCAGATGTTTAGGGGCCTTGGAGGATTGAACCTGTGAGTCAGATAATAACCAACCATAAGGTCAAGTTCAAGGCATTACCTGTTCTAGTGTTTTAGGGAAGGGTAGAGGAGCTTGTGGGCAGGGCAGGTGCCTCGCCTGGGGGATAAATTAACCCCTGCCTCCACTTGCTAGTGATAAGGGGGGGGGGGTGTCTCCTGATATTTCATCGAAGCCTCAGCACCGCTTCCGGCCAGCACCTGGAAATGTGATAGATTGGCCATGATCTGCTGATAGTTTCCTGAGAACAAATACTGGGAGATCTCCTGGGCCTTCCCAGAAAACCCATTTCCCAGGCTTACCATGGAGGACAGATGCACCTCCAAGACACCTCCCACTTGGAAGGAAATAGTTCCCAAATGGAAGCCTGGCCTCCAACCCCAGGAGGGGCTTGGTGGCCCTTTCCACCCTGAGCCCCCCAGTTGGCTCTTGCACCTGTGTGCAGTGTAGTCACCCGCGGTTGAGATAGTCTTCTGTGTAGCTTTCTAGAAACAGGTGTGACATTTAGGGACAGAGGAAGGTAGGGGTTCAGACCAGAAAGAAGAGGCAAAAAAATTGGTGCCCTAAGTGATCCACATATAAACGACTGTAGATCTTTGGCAGTGAGTTTCAGTCTGTCAAGTGGGCCTGACCCCTCCCAGGCCTGCTGCCATCCAGGATTGCCAGGCCCAGAAAAGCAGGAGCTGAGTCCCAAGAAGAGGAGGAAGTGTTGGTGAGAGAGAGAGAAAGAGTGTGGTAGGGCCTTGGAATGGAGTATTCAGAAGAAGGTGAGAGATCCAGTGCAGATCCCTGGTGAAGGCCTGAATTGGGGGAGAGTCAGGCACCCAACAGCACCCCTCCTCTGTGCTTGAGTACCAGGTGCCCTCCAGTGGCACCTCAGCTCTTGCTCAGCCTAGCAGAGGCATCAGAAAAGGCAGGGGGCCACAGAAGGGGAGACTTGGCTGGAAACAGGCAGGGCGGGAGACAGGCGAGCAGGAGCTGCAGGGAGACAGGACCGGCTAGGGACGGAATGTGGTGAGCGGGCAGCCTGGTATTGGCATTCGCTCTATGGGCTACACACTGAGCAGTCAAAGGGCTGTGAGTGTAGGCACTGAGGACCTTGTATTCTCAGATTTCGCAGACAATCAGCCGTGGCCAGCGCCCAAGCTAGCCCCAGGAGAGAAGAGGGCAGCATAGTAGCAGAGCCATTGGGGCTGGGAACCCCCAATGGAGTCTGTAGGTGCACCCTGCCCACAGCTCTATCTCCCTTGGAGTTAGCCGGTGTTAGGCTGCCTATCAAGTGACAGTCTTCGGCTCATGTCTCTCGAATGACTGTGCTGGAAACGCCCCCAGCACGACAACCCCGTTGAAAAGGCTTCATATTGCCTCAGCGCGCACTGACTGCGCCAAGGCTACCCTGCCCGGGCACCGCCAGCAGGCGCCCTCCCGCTGCTGCCCAGACCCCTCGGCTGCAAGAAGACGCGGAGGCGGCAGTGCTGGGCAGAGGCACCTGGACACACTTTATTCCGATATCCCGCCTGGGAAGGCGCGTGGAGCGCAGGGCGCACGAATCCTCCCGCCAGGGCGCATTCAGCTCGCGTGAGGAGGGTCGGGAGGCGCTGCAGAACCCCCCAACCCCCACCCCACCTTTAGGGCCAAATCAAACGAAGCCTTGGAAAGGCTTGGTCTGCTTTGCTGAGCAAGTCGCTTCGTTAGCCGTTTCCGTTTAATAAGGCTGGCGCGGGCGCCAGCCTTCTCCTTTCCGGGTGGCCATCTCCAAATGCTGCGCGCGGAGCGACGAAGCCGGCCCTGCGAAGGCTGACTGGACCTTGAAATTTGGAAAAACAACAAGAGATTGAAACGGCTCCCTCCCTTCTCCGCAGAAACACACGCACCGTCAGGCTGCCGCCACTTCCTGCCTTTGTTTTTCTTCCTCCAAAACATTTTTGGCCTCTTGCATTAGCTGCCGTGGGACTCCGGGTTGACGATAAGAGGAAATACACGCTGAAGACTGTTTTCTGGAGATGGCCCTGCGCTATGGAGCTCCTGAGAAAGAACAGCTCATGGGAAACCAGTCGCCAGGGCCAATGTCACAGCCTTGCCCGTCTCAGCCTCTTCAAGAAATGCAATTCGGACTTGGCCTTCCAGGGCTGCCTTAGCCCCCCGTCGGGTCTTTCCCTGAGCCGAGTGGGCTCAGCTCGGCTGTTGGGCATCCTGTAAAGCCGAAGAGTCAATTAGGCTCAGAGCAAAGTCAAAACCAAGGACCCGCAGCTCTGCCTCCCATGCTTCCTCAAGATTTGGTCTGATCCTCAGAACTGCGGCCACCCCCGAACCCCCTCCCCCAAACTTGCACCCCGCCAGTATATTCCGGCCAAGAGGGGCAGGAGCCGGCAAAGCTGGGAACAGTGCGCAGCCTTGGGGATCTGAGCACCCCCTCCTGTCCCTGCTGGGGAACTAAAAGCATTCGCCGCTCCAGGCGTTTTCCCTTCTCCTGGCATCAAAAGCCTTTTCCCTCGTTCATCTCACGGCAGCGCCCCCACACGCCCCCTTTCAGGCTGCAATTCCCTCCTGGCACCCCGCTTCGGTACAGCCTTCCGAATTGTCCTGCCAGCCGCTCCCGGAGCGCCTTTCTCCGCCCCAGCCTTTCCTCGGGAATTCGCCTTTGTCTCCTGCAGACACCCATGGGATCCAGAACTGCCGGCACCCTCTCGGCTTGGCTCTCAAGGACATGGGAGACATTGATTATGCGGAACAGCGCACATCCCTATACCAACCTTTCTGTGGGGACCCACTCTCCCTGGCACCAAGGGGAAAACCGATCTAATTAGGAGAAGGGCTGCATGCAGCTGGGGGAGACGGCCTGGCGTCCCCCGCTGGCTGGCCACCGCAGCCAGTCTGCTCAGGCACAAGCTGAAGTTGACTGCCAAAACTGCTATAAAACCCCAGGTCTGTCTAGAACTGTTTTCGGTTGTCCTAGACGCCCCCGGGTTCAATTATAGTCTTAAAAGCCCTAATACAAGTGCAAGAATTTGTTTGCCTTCACCCAGGGGCGGGGCAAGCCCTGAAATGGTGGCGCCTTTGTTATGGCAAAGTCACTGAAACCCCTCATGCATTCCTTTTGTTCGAGGGTCGGGGTGGCAGGGACTGGGTGGGCTGCTGGGAGAGAGTTTGGGAGAACCACAATCAAACCAGGGAATGGGTCAAATATTGCTGTTCGCAAACCTCTCCTTCTTCCTTTTTATATTCTGCCTCCAAGAAAGAGATGCTGTGGAAAAATATTTTGCCTTGTTGGTCGCCGCTGGAAATCGAAGTTTTTTCGCTGCAGAGCAATCCTGTAACTGTGATTCCCAGCTTTAGGAGGTCTCAAGCTACCTTTCCCCAAAAACCTTCCTTCTCCCCCAGACGATCTCACTCACATTGCTATTGCCTGCTGCACAAGCCACAGTGGACAAATATGTCAGGCTGAAGATGCACAAATAATTTCAAGTTCAGCTCTCAGGGATTCAAGGGGCATGAAAGTTCTTGCAGCAAATCCTGAATAAAGAGTTCATTAAACCAATGTGTCCGAGGAGTTTGATTTGTGATAAGCAACCCTTGTAAACGAGGGGAGTAGGAGCCACATAAACATTAATGCTAATAAATTAGTTTACTCCACTACAGAGTAATTACTCGATATTATTGATATTTACAGAGGGTATTCAAATGCAACGGTGGGCCATCATTTGAAGAAAATACATAACGAGAATATTTCTTTTCCAGTGCAATACATGATTAGATTTGTTATTGAGTCAGTTACAGTCAGCTCAGCAATAAATAAATAAATCGATGTTGACACTTAAATACCAAAGATCTTAGAGTTTATACTCTAAATCTCCCCAAGATATATAAATACCTTCGGCTAATTCCTGGATGGGGAAAGGGAAAAGGTTATCCTTTTTCATCTTTCGACTTTCCTTCAGCGACATCCAGCTTTTTCCCGGAAGATAGGTGTGGGGAGGCCTCAGGGCTGGGCCCCTCCCGCTCCTGGCCCTGCCTGGCTGCTCTATGCCCTTTTCTTTCACTTCTCCCAAACATTGTTCATTCAATCCTGCAGGATGGCCTGTATTTTTCACCATCTCAATTTTTTTCTTTCCTCTTCCCAAGAAAGCTAGACTCATACTAGCCACTATGGCCTCTGTCTCTATCTTTAGCTCAAACCTAGCCTTTTCAAGGCATCTTGTCACCCAAGGTGCTAGGAGTTTGGGGAGCATGTCTCTTTCCTTTGGCATCGTGTTCCTTCTGTGGGATGAGCAGCAGCAGGAAAAGCGCTGAGCCTGCTGAGTTTCTGCCCTGCACATCCCTGGCTCTCACGCTTTGCAAGGAAGGAGAAGCTTGTTACCCCTTTCTCGGCCAGCTCTCTCTTGTTACCCCTCTCCTCCTCCTCACTGCCCCCACTCTCCCTACAACTCTGGAGCTCCGCTAGCAGACTGATGGGCCCCGGAAGGTGCAGCATACCCAGGAGAAGGCTCCTCGAATGTCAGCGCCTCCAAAGCAGCCCAAGGCTCGCCTCAACTGCACGGTTTCCCGAGTCCTCAGCTCCAGATCAGGCGGGTGGGCGGACCAGTGCGCAGCGGCGCAGCCCCCGCGCCTCTGGCTCTGCCGAGTGACTATGAACCCCGGCAGGGAGCGAGGAGGAGTGGGTTTCTCCAAGGGCAGGGGGTGGAGTGAGGAGGCCGGCTGGGAGGATGAAGGGGAGGTGGATCCCGGGTAAGACGAAGGCCCTTCCGGGACCTGCGGATCTCTGACAAACCGCGGGGGAAGCCGCCCTGGTTGTTGGCGGTTTAGGGACGGAAGGCACTAAAGCGCTTCGGAAGTGACCATTAATGCGAGCGTGTAATCAAGTCACCGTGCAAATCGGGCAAGTCACGAGGCAGGCACATCCACAGCTGCGAACCCTGGCCCTGAAGGGGGTCCGGCCGGGGTCGGAGGCAGAAGTGGTTCCCAGAGCAGGCCTGTGGGAGGAGGTGCGAACGCGAGCCTCCAGGAGAATAGATTCCAAGACCACGCAAGGGCCACGCAGAGACACGCTCCCACCCCGCCACCCCCAGCCTGAGGCATCCCTCACCCAGGGAGTGGTGGGTGGCAGGAGTCGAGCTCTCTCACCGCCCTCGGGGCACTCGAGGGCCAGGACCGTGCAGCTGAGCACAAGCCAGTGGCATGGGGGCGCACCCCAGCCTCGCCGCGCGCCGGGAGGCCCCCCAGCCAACATGAGTTACACCGGCGATTACGTGCTTTCGGTGAGAACACCGAGTGACGATCTGTTGCTTCCCCTGAGGTGGCTACAAAGAAAGGAAGCCGGGGAGTGAGGGAAAAAAAAAAAAAAAGGAAAGGGGAAAAAAAAAAAGGCCCGGACTAGCTCGCAGCTTGTCAATTTCAACATCGGGTCACATGACCAGCACCTCCCTGCTAAGGATGGGGATAGATTTCCACGTCAGCTTACGTCTCCAAATTTCTACTTCACGGATCCGCTTCAAAGAGGCAGCTGCAGTGGAGAATCATGTTAAGCTCGGCTACTGCGGAGAGCCCAAGGTAGCCCAATGATGGATTTTGATGAGCGTGGTCCCTGCTCCTCTAACATGTATTTGCCAAGTTGTACTTACTACGTCTCGGGTCCAGATTTCTCCAGCCTCCCTTCTTTTCTGCCCCAGACCCCGTCTTCGCGCCCAATGACATACTCCTACTCTTCCAACCTGCCCCAGGTCCAACCCGTGCGCGAAGTGACCTTCAGAGAGTACGCCATTGAGCCCGCCACTAAATGGCACCCCCGCGGCAATCTGGCCCACTGCTACTCCGCGGAGGAGCTCGTGCACAGAGACTGCCTGCAGGCGCCCAGCGCGGCCGGCGTGCCTGGCGACGTGCTGGCCAAGAGCTCGGCCAACGTCTACCACCACCCCACCCCCGCCGTCTCGTCCAATTTCTATAGCACCGTGGGCAGGAACGGCGTCCTGCCACAGGCTTTCGACCAGTTTTTCGAGACGGCCTACGGCACCCCGGAAAACCTCGCCGCCTCCGACTACCCCGGGGACAAGAGCGCCGAGAAGGGGCCCCCGGCGGCCGCGGCGACCTCCGCGGCGGCGGCGGCGGCGGCAGCGGCCACGGGCACGCCGGCAACTTCAAGTTCGGACGGCGGCGGCGGCGGCTGCCGGGAGGCGGCGGCGACGGAGGAGAAGGAGCGGCGGCGGCGCCCCGAGAGCAGCAGCAGCCCCGAGTCGTCTTCCGGCCACACTGAGGACAAGGCCGGCGGCTCCAGTACGTATAAAGGCAGCGCCCTGCGCTTTATGAAAGGGGAGTTGGAAATCTAGCGCAGCACCGCTGTTAAATTTTTATATGCTGTTTTATAAGCATATAAGGTTTATGAAGGGCCTTTAGGTTTCCCCCAACAAAACTTTGTTATAAAAGGCGGGATCACGTGGCGAGTGCTGAAATTGGCCGTGAAATACCCACCGGCCAAGGCATGCCTGCAAAAAAAAAAACAACTCCCTTTTTCCCTTTTTTCCCTTCTCGGCTCCCAAGCCCGGCAGCTCGACCCCGCTCGGGGCCAGCTCGGGCTGGGGAGCCGGAGGTGGGCGCCTGTAAATTCCCCCTGCAAGGGCTCCGGGAGCCTTTGATAGCGAGGTAATCCGGAGATTTTTATAAAAGCCATGTGTTGCGCCGGGACTCCAGTCCCGGCCGGGATTCAAAGGCATCGCTGTTTAACGATGGCGCTAGGAGCGTGTTTAACAGATAAAATAGCCCGCTTAGCTCGAGCAATATATTAAAAGAAACAAATTAACCCAAAGTTGGCCTTTTTGTCCAAAGGAAGCCATTTTCCTCTGGCGCGGTGGCAATTAAGTGCTGCCTTCTGTTGGACTGCATGTTACTCACAATTGTTATTCAATCTGTCAAAAGCGGGTTTTTTCTTTACCTGTTGTGGACTTTTATTGAAAAGGGGAGCAAGTCAAGCTTGCCCGCAGCCTTGGGAAACCCCTCTTTCCTCCACTCTGTTTAACACAGCAGCCCTGCCTTGCGGGGAGCCCAGGACGGCTGTGTGGCCTTAGTGTTCAGGGAAAGCCCAGGATGCGGGGCTTCCGCTGCCACCTCCTCACCTCGCGGGAGCCAGGAGGCTGGCCAGGGGGGCAGGTGCTGGTGGCCAGGACTCAGACTGACAAAGACCCGGCAGCTGCCCCAGATGTTAACGCGGGGCGAGTCATGACCGCAGCCGGGAAAGACCAGGGCTGGGGCCGCCTTTACTGCCTCCAGAACCCGCTCCCAGGTGCTGGAAGGTGAAATGTCCGCGGGCGGCAGTTTGTTTAGTCTGGCCGGGCTGGAGGCAGCCGGCAACCCCCACTTGGCGGCTTTGAAAGCGGCTTCCGCGGCACAACCCCGCCTGTTGCTGTGAGGAGCCCTCCTTTCTGCTCTGGGGGCAGCCTGAGCAGCTTCCCTGGGGGCCTATCTAGGGAGCTGGCTTTTATCTGGGGCTGAACCTCCGCCTGCAGCCTGTCCCAGGCCGGCAGTAGAAGCTTGAAGGCAAGGGCCTGGGGAGACCTTGATGGGGCTTGGGCCAGGCCTCCAGTCCCTGGGGCCAGCCCTTTTCCTCCACTGGGGGCTCTGGGATGGATTGCAGCCCCCACACCTGGCTCACTCCCTGCCTCTTTTGCCCTCCACAGGTGGCCAACGCACCCGAAAAAAGCGCTGCCCCTACACCAAGTACCAGATCCGGGAGCTGGAGCGGGAGTTCTTCTTCAGCGTGTACATCAACAAAGAGAAGCGCCTGCAGCTGTCTCGCATGCTCAACCTCACCGACCGTCAAGTCAAAATCTGGTTTCAGAACAGGAGAATGAAGGAAAAAAAAATTAACAGAGACCGTTTACAGTACTACTCGGCCAACCCCCTCCTCTAAGGCTCTAGCCAGCTGGAATTGGGTGGGGGGCTTCAGACACATGAGATTATATGCAGATTTTGCCCTTGACAAGGTCAAGGCACACAGTGACTTCTGAAGAAAGATGTGCAAGAGAGGGGAGGCAACACGGAGATAGCCCCAAAAGAGGTGGCCTGGGACTCTCTTGGGCATCTGTGGTTAAGATTCCCAACAGTAATTGGATTTGGAGAGTTGTGCATCAACTAGAATGAACGGTTTTGGACCCCTGGTGGTTCACTCTTGGAGACTGCAGAGCTTCGGGCTGGGTGTGGTCTCCATCAGGGGCTCAGCCCCCTGCCAGGCCCCCCGGAGATCAACTCCAGCCCTGGACCCTCCACATGGAGCCTGCCCACCCTCAGGACCCCTGCGTCAAGAAGCTATGCGATCTCCAAAACCAGTTCAGCTTGGGGACAGGAGCAGGAGGAAAGGGCAGGATTCCTAGATGTCAGGAATGGGGCTACTTTCCAAAGCCAATGTGAAAGACGCTGGACTAAGAGGTAGATATGAGGTGGGAGAGGGCTGCTGATCCTTGAGGGAAGAAAAATCTACGATTCCAGGTGGCAGTAGTGGCTCTCCACCCCTCCTAGCCACTCATCGCACCGTCCCAGGCCTGAGCTTCTAGCAGTCGCCTCCTGTAGCCCATCTAGTTTTTCCTACCGATGAGGGTCTTCATCCTGGCCTGCCACTCAGGCCTAAAGCCTGGTCGCAGAGCAGACCGTTCCCCGAGGTGGAAGACATCAAAAAGCCAAGAGGCTTCGCCCAGGCCGCTGGCTGCGAGATCTCTGCAGGAAATGCCTGTGGAGTGCGGCCGCTTGGCAAAATCTCCCCCACACTTAATTGAAGCTTGGATTTGCTCAGAGGAGCAGCAGGCCTGGCCAGCGGTCCCCAGCTATGAGGGCCTCGAGTCTCTCAAAACACCCGGTTCCAGCGCTGCACTCCGTCCTTCACCACCCCAGAACTGAGCTTGGAAGCTTCCGGCGACCTTCCAAGAGGTCGAGAGTGATTTGGAATTATTTTAAAAGATAAATATTATATTATATATATATATTTCCCTGCAGGAACCAAAGCGAATTTTAAAAGATGCAATGTAGAGGGAAGAAAAGTTGATGAAGAAATATTTAAAGGCTCTATCTGTTTACAGTGTTCCACGGTTAAACTCACTCACTGCTAAGAATATTTGAATGTACGCTTCATACAGGGATGGTGTTCAAAAGATTTGTAAATAAAGGAACCATAACCTATTTTGTTTGAATTTTTTTTTGCCATTAGTTGATTTCTTTTGGGGTGGTGCAGGGGGTGGGAAGGGTGTTGGGAATGGTCTTTTTAATTTCTTTCAATGTTTAGAAAGCATTAGGGGGATGCTCTGAGGTAGTTCAGCCCGCCAGGGTCTGGGAACCTCAGCTGAGAAAGCCAGGCACCCTCCCATTGAATCTCCTCTGCCTTCCTGTGTTAAGAAGCGTCTGGTGGCTCTGTTTGTAACAGGAGTGTTGGCCTGTCCTCCGTTCTCGCCCCCGGAGCATGTCGCAGCATGTATACAGGCGACAGGGCACAAGGAAAATAAAGACGGTGGAAACTTGAGTATTGGGTCCTGGTGTGACATTCCTCTCCCTGCTTGCCTTTTACTGCCAAATGTCGGCCCCCTCATTATCCCCCCACTAGGAAAGGGGCAAGTGACAAGGCCCCTGAGGGGGGTGGGGAGGTGACTGAGTCAGGATTTAACTACACCAGAAACCAGGCTTAGGCAGCTAAGGTCCTTTTGGGAAGTGGGGGTCCCAGGAATGGGGTATCTCAGGGACTGGAATATGGGGCTTCGTCCTTTCCGACTGACCCCAGCCCTGGGTGAAAGCCTTGGAGCTTGAGGTAGCCAGTGGGTCTGATCCCAGGCTGGGCTAGCTCACCTCAGGACTAGGAGGCCTGAAGTGGAACCACTCCAGGATGCCCTGGGGAACCCTTCAGCAAGAGGGAGGCTGGTCTGGGTACAAAGACAGAGCAGACTCTTAGGAGCCTCTAAGGGCGCTTTCTCCCCAGCTCCCAGCTGAGGCTGCCTTTTCCCTTTGGGGAAAGAAAGATGCCGGTTTCCTCTTTGTTTCCTGCCTTTGAACTTCTGCCTTAAATTTGGACATCACCCATAACCTTGAGGGGCAGGGCGGAAAGGCCAGAGCCTTTTGTTGCCCACCCCACCCCCACTCTACCCTCTCCCCAGCCACCCAGGCAGGGCCAGAGCAGCAGAGAGGATCGAATTTGGAGAGAGGCCCCAGACCCCAGACCCCAGACCCGGCTTTGGCTTTGTTTATTTGTTTGTGTGTTTGTCTAACTGGCGCGACTGGAGAAATCGGGCTCAAAGGGGAGTGGGATAGACCCCGAGATGAATGTCTAGGTTGATAGACACACAGAGGTGAACGAGGACTCTCCTGGGGGGCAGGGAGGGGGTGGGCAGGGAGGCCTAGGGTTTAAGGAAAGACTTCCTTTGGGACGGTTAAAGATTAACCAAAGTCTCACAAGTTGCTAGAGAGAGTCTAGCCAGGAGGACTGTTCGAGGGCGGGCGGCGAGCGGGCGCGGGTTTGATTTCTGAGCCCTATAAAACCCCATCCTCCGATGGCTGTGACAATGTGGTCGTAAACCCGTCCGAGGCCAGCCAATTTGCATATTTGGAATGCGCCGCTATAAACCCGGCTGGGGTTTTGCAGCAATTTCTTAGATGTAAAAATGAGATCTCTTTAGCAGCGGGCTGGGCACATTCTCTCCCTCTGTCTCTGCCTGGAGCCTGTTTCCTTCTCCCGGCTTGGGTCCCGAGCTCCGGCCGGGCCTAGGCGCTCAGTCGCCACGAGATGGCGCACTTCCGATCAATGTCAAAGCCGCCGGGGAGCGGGGAACCCCAGCGCGATTCTTGGCCTTTGTTCGCTTCTGATACTAAGAGCAGCACGTTACATTATTTCACTTGTCCCGCTCCCCTTCGTATCAAAAAAAAGGGGGGCTCACCTTCAGGAAGTGGTTGGTGGTGTAATTTAAAGCAACGCACCTTGTCTAGGCCTCGCAGGCGTCGCGGCGCGGGGAAGCCAGCTCTCCCTTGGCAGTGATTTCGGAAATGTGTCAAGGTAAGAGGCCACAGGTTTAGCAATTTCAGTCTGGCTGGGGCGGGAGTGGGGAGGCGGCCGATGTCTGAGCAGGGCTGGGGAAAGTGGCTGGGTTTGTGCGCTCCGGGGTGACGCTACAGGCGCTCAGCCCACCCCCCACCCCCCTTCTCCCATCGCTCCCTAAGGTTGGAAGGCAGGGGGAGGCCTAAGTGGAAAGTTGACGGTTTTAGCTCCCTGCGCCAGCATCTCACCCAAAGCGATCTTTCGATTTTGTAGCAATATTCAGACTGGCATGAGCCAGGGATGGGGGGCATCCAAGCGAAAGGGTCCCGGGCTGTGCTGGGATAGGGGGGTTGTGATTCGGTAAAAAAGGAGAGGGCGAGATCGCAGAAAATAGAAAGTTTCTACTCCAAACAATGAGGTGCTCAGCGACCGTGGCTGCTGGGGCGGGCTTATTCCCTGGGGCAGACGTCCCGGTTGTCTCTGGTTTCCTACTAGATTCGGTCTCTAGGTCTGCCCAGCAGCCTGGGGGAAACCTTTGTTTAGAAAACGGCCAATTCAGAAAAGTTGCATTTGATTTTTGAGGCTGCCAGACAAGGCTGTATTGTTTATTTGGAATGTACCACTACAAACCTGGCTGGGGCTTTGCAGCAATTTCTTAGATGCAAAGATGAGAGCTTTTGCATATTTTGTAAATATGCAAAAATTGTATTGGTAAACACCTGTACATTTTCAAAAGCTGGCACTGAGGATAAACTCGGATCGAACAATCCCTCCGTCAGGATTGTCATAAAACAAGTTTTAAATAATCATTTCACTTACATTTCGGAAGCCAGCTTCAACTTCCCTCTTTTCCTATATTTAAATTTTTGTTCCAATATGTTTTCATAAGTTTCTTGAAACGGTTATTTTCTTTTCACAAACATACAGTGCATGGGTGAGTGGGGGGAGTCTCAGAGAAAGTAGGGGCTTCTTGTGTGTGATTTTTGCCTGTGAAAGTCACTAGTCTTTGTTGAGCAGGGGCCCTAAAGGCTGCCAGAATAAGCCTACCACAGGAAGGAGTGAGCGCCCACACAGTGCTCTCTGCAGCCTGAGCCTTCTCTAAAATCCCAGAGCCACCTCTAGTTTTAAGACCAGATGCAGTGTATTATGAAGAAAACTAAGGATATTGCCATTTAGGCGGTGGCTGAAAAGGCCATAACACTCGTCTCATCAGGAGAGCGGGGCCAGTTCAGTGGCTGGATTTAGAAAAAATTTAAAGTGGGTTGCTTAGGGATATATTGCACCTGATATTTGATTGCACACACCAAATATCCCTGGAAATGTTGACAATCTTAAAGATGAAGGAGAAAAGAACATCATTGCTTACAAAAAAGATTTCTAACTATGCAGTAAATGCGTGAATCGGAGAAGTCCAGAATATTTGTTAAAGCCGGGCACATGGAAGTAGTGTTTATTTTCCTCTGTGGGGCCACAGCCCGGCTCCATAGCGGGTCAGAGCATTCTGAGCTCTGAGAGTACTGAGAGCGACCTTCAGATACAAATTGTTTACTGGCTATCTCCATCTCAATACCTAGTGTTTCAAAAAAGAATTTTTTTTGTGATCGTTTATTATTTCTCATCGTTTGCAAGGGCTTACTCAAGAGGACAAATCTGATATCGGGTGAACTGCATCGTAATCCTTGCCACAGGGCTTATTCCGCCCGCCTGGCGTTTGCTTCGGCTCCATAGCCATGGAGGAGCGGGGAGTGTTATTACCCAGGTAGAAATGGGCGATATTTACTCCTAAATAAAACGTGGGTCCTGGCAGCTGCCACATAACCGCTCCACAGGCCTGGTTGAAGCAAGCAAGGCACCGAGAGTTTTAAGTCAAAGTCACCCAAAGAGCAAGAGAGAAATTCAGCAGCTGGAAGGGAGGGCGAAAGGGAGAGAGAGAAAGAAGGCAAATGAGCGAGAGGGAGAGAGAGTGTCCAGAAGCCGACTAATACTGCAATTAAATCGCTTTTCTTAATCTCTCTGGGGTGGGGAATCTGAGGAAAGCCAAGGCGATCAATAAATGGAATATTCTATTGAGGAAGCTAACACCTCTGTGAGTGTGGAGCCTTGGGGGCGGTAGGGGATGCTGGAAGCTCCGGGGACTGACTGAGAGGGCAGCCTTGTTTAACTTGAGCTTCTGCTGAGTGGATATCTTCTCTCCAAAACAGCAGCGAGCGGCAGGCCAGTCTGCGTCCCATGCGCACCCACAGGCTCTCCATTTGCTCTCCGCTCAGCAAGCTGGGTGGGGTTGGGGTGGTGGTACTAGGCCAGAGAGGGGCTCCCACATGAGCTTACACACTTTTTTTAGAGCATAGAACAGCACAAACCAAACATCCTGTTTGGTTTATTACAAGGGGGAAAAGATGCTGGAGAAAAACATCCGGCTCTCTCCAAAGGTTGGTGAAGCCCCAAGTGCCAATGCCATGGTCTGGGAGTCTGCAGCGGCCCTTCCACCTCTTCTACTCTGCAGCTGCAGCCGGGGCAGCCTTCTTATAGCAGATGCAGTACCAAGCTGACTTTGGTAACCTTAGTTGGAGCATGCACGCTCTTGGATACCCTCCAGGCTAGAAGCCCATTTGGCCACCCTAGAGGGCCCTGACCAGACAGGGCCTGAGCTGCCTACAATTAGGCACCCGGCTTGTCTTACCAGTCAAATTGGCCAGATCGCTGAATTTCCAGAGAGTCCTGTAACATTCTGGAGGGCCCAAGGAGAAGGCTTTGAGGGGTCTGTGAACTCCTTGAAAATGATGGGTCAAATTGTGGGAATGCACAGATGTGCATTTCTCACAGGATAAGAGTCAGAACTTGGCCTTAGATTTTCCAAAGGGGCCTTAACTTCCAAAAAGGTTAAAAAAGACAGGTTTAGATCATTGTCTTTCACTTTATTAGCCTCCACCATCTCAAGCATTCTCTCCTGTGGTCACTGGCCCTTCCCAACCTGCGGCCTGGGAAGTTGCTTTCTGCATTTAGTCTGTGAGGCACAAAGTCCCGGCCCACTGCCCTGCTTGGGGCTCCTTCTCCTCAAGAAATCCTCTCCTGTTCTTGGGACCTACTTCCAGTCGGCAGAGCTTTCCTGAGAGGCATGGACAGTGCTGAGAGGCAAAACCCCCTTCTCAGGTAGTCCTCAGCTTCGTGGCATTTCCCAGTAGCACTGCTGAGCCCTACCGTCCTGAGTGCCTGGCGAGCCCCCGGGTAAGGACCAGGCCCATCCGGGAAAGGGTCCTAGGCTGCGGTGCTCTGTAGCTTTTCCGCACTCGAGTTCGTTGGTGTTGTGGGCCTAGCCGGGTTAAAGTTGTCCTTAGCCTTGTGCGTGGGAGCAACGTGGACAGCGAAGGACAGTTCCTGAGCTCTCCGCATAGATTCTTGACTTGATTCGGCTGCGCCACTACTGCGGCCTCAAGACCCCGTGGGGTGGAGAGAACTAGTTCTCTCATGCTCTCTCTCCTCTCATTTCTCTCCCTCTGCCCTTCTCTCCCTCTGCCCCTCTCCCTCTTTCTCTCTCTATCCCCCCCCACTCCAGATGCCCAGTCCGCCGAGCCAGTCACTGCGGAGCGCAGTGCTAAAAGTGGCTGGAGCGCAGCGCAAACGGTGGCGCGGCCTCCGGGCGCTGTGCGCGGAGTAGCCGAGGCCGGCAGAGACAGCAAATGCTCGCAACTGCTTGCATCTCAGAAGCTGGCGGCAGAGCCCTGGCTTTCCCGTGCGCTCTCTCTGGGTCCTCTCAGGCCCGGCTTCTTCCTCGGACTGGGTTCATACTGGGAGGAACAAGGCCAAGTGCCTGGCAAATCACCTGGGATGCAAGGGTCTTTCCCGCTGCACGCAGAGGCCTGAGCGGTCAGCTTCCTGGGATCCCGGCGTTCAGCAGCAACAGTCAGGGCCTCTGCTGGGGTTGGAGCTGGCCGGGCGGCAGGCCTGGGGCATCCTGGAGAGCTGTAGCCCGCAGGCCAGGGGCAAGGCAGCGACCTCTTGGGCTCCAGTGGATCCGGCCTGAAAAGGTCACATTTCCTGAGACATGTATGAGGCCCACTCTTGGGGGCTAGCGCCCTGGGCCAGCCGTTTCCAGTTGACTAAGAGCGCGTCACCACGGCCAGGGAAGAAGGAGGCCCCAGTGTCTGCTGAGCAAAGGGCCTGGCCTCCGAACGCTCCTATAACTGGGCCAGGAGCCCAACCCGGCCTCGCAGGGAACGGATTTCCTCACCGCGGGCCTCGTTAAAATGCGCACACTGCGGGAGTGAGGGCTGCCCCAGCCTCGGGTTTGGAGGGGAGGGGGGAAGAAGGGAGGGGACGGAGAGGCACGAGTGTGGTGACACTGGCTCTTGTCATAGCCTCCGGCAGCGTTCGAATGCCAAGGCTAAATGGAGAGCTGAAGAAGAGTGTGGCAGAGGTGTCTGTCGGTTGCCCCCCACCGGGTTTCCCCCTCCAGGTCTTCGCCTCTCGGCAAGCCAAAGACCCTTAAAATCAATGTTTCTTTCACTTCCTCAAGACGGCGTATGAGCTTGGAGGCTGTCAGGGTGATGGGGCTGTGGGGTGTCTGGACCTGGCTCCAGCCTCGGAGTAGGGGTGGAGGAATCTTTCAGCCAAGGTTGCCAGTCGCTTCCACCCCTCACTCCTACCAGCCCATCAAGGCCCACCGACAGGAGCTGCAGAGAAGGCAAGCCAGGTGAGCACACCAGAGGCAAAAATCCTAACTGGGTCAACCGGCTAGCAGAAGAGAAGTGTAAGGGGCTGCGAGGCCAGGGCATTGCATTTTGGGGAAAATTCTGTGTGGGATACAAGAAAGAAGTGGTAATAGCCAGCTTCCAGTCGGCTCTGGATTCGGACACTCTGAGGGTCCTGATGGCCTTAGGACCAGGTCCGCCACTTTTGCGAGACCGCTTCAGGTCCAGAGCTGAATCGGAAGAGTCTGAGGCCCGACAGGCTGCCTTAGTGGTTAGAGTGCACCAAGGGCTAGTGGCTGATTCCGAAATAAGAATAGGGAGCACCCAAGGCGGGACGGGGTGCGCGCCATAAACACTCCACTTGTTAACTGCGCGGGGCCCAAGGGCCTTTCAAACAGACCCCGGAGGAGGACTCACGTCTGGGCATGGGCGGGGCAAGCCCAGGGGCCCGGCCCCCCACCAGCCACGCTGGGGCAGCCCCCACAGCTCCTGGCCTTTGGGCTGAGGTATCGGGTGTGCGTCTTGCGGCCCATCAATACAGATTACATATTTATATCAATCGCGGGCTCGGAGGGCGCCCTCGGAGAGCGGCCCCGCGCCTACGAAACCAAACTGGGAGTGGTCGCGCGGAAACTCTGGCTCAGGATTGGCTGCGGGCGCCCGCCGCGGTGCGGGGGGATTGCTAATCGTATTCAGCATGTTTTGCACAAGAAATGTCAGCCAGAAAGAGCTATCTGCTCCCTTCGCCAAATTATCCCACAACAATGTCATGCTCGGAGAGCCCCGCCGCGAACTCTTTTTTGGTCGACTCGCTCATCAGCTCCGGCAGAGGCGAGGCTGGCGGTGGTGGCGGCGGCGCGGGGGGTGGCGGCGGCGGTGGCTACTACGCCCACGGCGGGGTCTACCTGCCACCAGCCGCCGACTTGCCCTACGGGCTGCAGAGCTGCGGGCTCTTCCCGGCTCTGGGAGGCAAGCGCAATGAGGCAGCTTCGCCAGGCGGCGGCGGCGGCAGCGGGGGCCTGGGGCCCGGGGCGCACGGCTACGCGCCCGCGCCTATAGACCTGTGGCTGGACGCGCCTCGGTCGTGCCGGATGGAGCCGCCCGAGGGGCCGCCACCGCAGCAGACCCAGCAGCAACAGCCGCCCCCGCCGCAACCACCCCAGCCCCCGCCGCAGGCCACCTCTTGCTCTTTCGCGCAGAACATCAAAGAGGAGAGCTCCTACTGCCTCTACGACTCGGCTGACAAATGCCCCAAAGGCTCGGCCGCCGCTGCCGAGCTGGCCCCCTTCCCGCGGGGCCCGCCGCCCGACGGCTGCGCCCTGGGCACCTCCAGTGGGGTGCCGGTGCCCGGCTACTTCCGCCTCTCCCAGGCCTATGGCACGACCAAGAGCTACGGCAGCGGCGGCGGCGCGCTGCAGCTTGGAGCCGGCCCGTTCCCCGCTCAGCCCCCGGGGCGCGGCTTCGACCCGCCACCCTCGCTAGCCTCCGGCTCGGCGGATGCAGCCCGGAAGGAGCGAGCCCTCGATTCGCCGCCGCCTCCCACGCTGGCTTGCGGTGGCAGCGGCGGGGGCTCGCAGGGCGACGAGGAGGCACACGCCTCGTCCTCGGCTGCGGAAGAGCTCTCCCCGGCCCCTTCCGAGAGCAGCAAAGCCTCGCCGGAGAAGGACTCCCTGGGTAAGCAGGGCACGCTGAAGGGCCGCAGTCAGGCGGGCAGACAGACAGGCAGACCCAGAGAAGGGAAGGAGCAGAGAGCCAGGAGTCCGCCTAGCAGCCGGCCGGCCTTGGCCCGAGCTGCAGGCAGGCTGACCTTGTGAACTTGCTTTTTAATATTTGGGCGTGGGGACACAGTAAAAATTCACGTCTGGCTTAGCACCCCACACCAAGACGTCCTCTGCGGTGGCCTCAGCTCACCCCTTCTGGAGGCGAGGACACCGACGAGCAGCCCCCCTCTTGTACATGCCCTTCTCCGTGGCCCAGAGCACCCTAAGCCATGGTCTGGGCCCAGCCTGCTAGGCGCGGCCCACGCGGGGGGAGGGGGAGGGAGGGAAAGTAGCTCGCCCGCAGATAGCGTGGATGTTTGTAAGGCATCCAAAATAAGCAGCCGCCAGCACCAATAAATAAGCCCATTAACCGGCGAAGTTCGAGTTTACGATCCCCCATGCTTTTTTCAAAGTTGCTGGAGGGGCGGGAATCCTCGTTTCGGGGAGAAGAAAAGGCAAATCCGGCCCGGACGCCGGGGCCCTGAGCTGTGAGTCAGAGAGGGGCCGTTTCTCTTCCCCTGAAACTCGGAATCGCCCAGACTGCACGTCCCTGGCTCCTGGAGAGACGTGAGGGAGGGCCCTTGACCCCAAATCAGCTTTTCATGCCTTCCCCAAGTCCCAACTATTCTCTTCTCCCTCTCCTCAACGGGCGTTGGGCAACCAGGGGGCTGGAGTGAAACACAGCCCCGCTGCCAGGCCCCTTTCCAAGTAAGCATCCCACATCCCAGCCTGGGGGCTAGGAAATGCTCATCTGCCTTGGGGCAAGAAGCAAAGAAAGGCGTTAAGTTCACGATATACAGCCTGGTCTCCCAGGCCACTCATTTTGCAAGCACCTGGCAGCTTTGTGCTAAAACAGGTGTTTGGAAAAAAGTGGAGGAAAACGTATATTAGGAGGATAGGTGTAGATTGGAGGCCCACTTGATTTTGCACACGCCTTTTGGAGAAACTGTTCTTCCTAGGCAAGCTAAAGGGGCATAACTGTGTGACTCAGGGCGGCATCCCTCTTATGGCAGAGACGTCCTAAATTCACCCCTGCTTGCAGCCCGCGTGGCCTCGATTTAACCTTCCCCTCTTTATTCTCTTAAATGCCAGGCAATTCCAAAGGCGAAAACGCAGCCAACTGGCTCACTGCAAAGAGCGGCCGGAAGAAGCGCTGCCCCTACACGAAGCACCAGACGCTGGAGCTGGAGAAGGAGTTTCTGTTCAACATGTACCTTACTCGAGAGCGGCGCCTAGAGATCAGCCGCAGCGTCCATCTCACGGACAGACAAGTGAAAATCTGGTTTCAGAACCGCAGGATGAAACTGAAGAAAATGAACCGAGAAAACCGGATCCGGGAGCTCACAGCCAACTTTAATTTTTCCTGATGAATCTCCAGGCAACGCCGTTTTTTCGCTTCCAGAGAGCTGTTCTCCTCCCTCTGTCTTCGGCCTCTGCCCAGGAACTCGCACCTGTGCCGGAGCCCCATTCCTCCCTCCCACACTCGCCATCTCGCTGGCCGTTACATCTGTGCAGGGCTGGTTTGTTCTGACTTCTTGTTTCTTTGTCTGTTTGCTTGGTGCTGGTTTATTTGTTGTTTTCTGGGGGAAAAAGCCATATCGCGCTCAAATTCGAGAGAGAGAGATATTGTCCTAAGTGTCAAGTGGTGACTGGGATGGTTTGCTGTCTCGGGGTTCCAATGCTCGAAATGGCCCCTGTTTTCCCGGTGGAACTGGAGCTGGTTTCCTGCGGCCCCCCGGGGCAAACCTAGCCGGAAGGCAGAGGTCCCATTGTAGGCGCTGAGGTGTCTGGCCTGAGGTCAATGGTGCAAGGAGCCGCCACCGGGCTCCCTGGCCTGGAGTGCTGGGCTGTGTTTAATCAGGGGATACAGGCCTCTGGGTTCCTCTTTTCTTTCTTCCTTTCTTCCTTGGCAAAGAGAAGGACTTACAGGCATGGACTTGCAGGTTGGCAAAAGGGCTTGACTTTGGCTGATTGGAAAACCGAAAAAGTTAGATTAATTTTTCCTTCCTCTGTAAGATATCCCAGCTTTAAAAGAAAAAAAGAATGACCAGAAGAAAAGTTCTCTTCCAGTTTGTGTAAGGTCTTGCATTGTGGGACTAAATTATTTCACTTACCCCTGAATTTCCGTATCCTTCTGGCTGTAGATAAATAACCTAATGTAGTTTTGTTTAGATATGCAGATTTTGTGGATTTTTTGTCATTAAATAATTGTTACCAGTGGTAACACATGACAAGCACACCACAGTCCTCCCTATCTTGTGGAGGTTTTCTTTTTTTCCCCACTCTTTTCTTCTTCTTTTTTTTTTTTTTTACTTTCCAAAATTCACAGAGGCGGACTCCTCCGCTGGGGGCAAGCAGAATGGCTAGAGAAGGGAGACATTGTGAATTTCCTTTATACTGTGAAGTTACATGCATAAAAGGGTCAAACCTGTAGGTGCAGAAAAAGAAAAAACTATAAATACAAATCTGTATAAATGTCTATTATTATGAAAAATTGCCAATCTTGTTTTATGCAAATGCATTCTATCGTTATTATAAATGTTAGTTCTAGTTCTATTTACTTCTAATCTTAAATCAGAATAAATTAATATTGTAATGCTGCTGTGCGTGGAAAAAAAGACGATGTTTATGTTCTTATAGAAGAATAAAAGCTGTGGAATGAAGCTTTTTAATTTTACCTCTTTTTTTTTTTTTTTTTTACTTCTTATCTTCACCTTCCACTTTATCCCGTCCACCACTTTTACAACAGGAGGACTAGCCTGCGCCCCCTGCAATTACTTTAGGCATCTATTTAAATATTACCTAGACGGTCGTAATTTGTCTGGGCCCTATAGCCCTGGTGCCGTAAGGTTTGTCGGCTTTTGTTCAGTTTTATGACTTGCTAGTATATCTGGATTGTGGCTGTCTTGGACCAGTGGTTTCAGTTGAGAGGGGAGCTGCATAGACAGAGGAAGCCAAACAGGATTTCTATCGGGAGCCCTAGGGAGGCTCGCAGAGGCCGGTTATTTTGCGGGTCCCCTGGTCCTAGATGACTCCCAGCCTAGGAATCCGGGGATCAGGCTGGGCCCACAGGGCGTCACTAGCGTCCGCGCAGCGCTTAGGTAGACCGCGGCCGGGCGGCCTGGACCCCCCCTCACCCAGCACGGCCTCCCCTACCTGGTCGCCCTCCGCGGGGCCACGCGTTTCCTGCTCGCGGGAGGTGGGAGGGGGCGACGGCAGGGGGGAGGGGGCGCGGGAGCGCGCGCCCCGGCTGGCTGGCTGGCTGGCGGTGAGGGAGAGAGGGGGAGAGGGAGCGGCGGGGAGCGAGCGCGGGAGGCCGAGACCAGACAGGGAGCCGGGCTCGGTGCTGTCCCTGGCGCTTTCCAGTCGCCCAGGGCTACCGCCGCTGGGCGCCTGCTCGCTGAGCAGCAAAATTTGGGAAACCAGCACGCCCACTGCTCCTTCTCTCTTCTCGCTTTTTCCCTCTTTTACCTTCCTTCCCTCCCTTTCCCAGGTTCACCAAACTGGGGCCGGTGGCATCTCCCTCCGTGATGCCTTAGCGGCAGCGCGGGGCACGCAGTAGCAGCGGCGGGCGCAGGTTGGCGAGGGGCCGGGCCGGGCGCGATCTCAGGGTTCTCCCTTGGCGGCGGCGGAGGCGGCGGCGGGCGAGGCAGCCCCGCGCGGGCAGCACCAGAACTGGTCGGTGATTTAGGTAGTTTCCTGTTGTTGGGATCCAGCTTTCTCTCGACAGCACGACACTGCCTTCATTACTTCAGTTGAAATCGTCTCCAGGTACCTGTGCGCGCGGGGGCCGGGCCGGGCGGGGCATCCAGACCCTGGTCGTGCCAGGCCTGCGGTGGCAACCTCGGCTTTTCCCACGCAGGAGCCTCGACCCTGCCTCCTTCTCAGAGCTCTGCCTGCCTGCTGGCCTCACCCCCCATCTCTACCTGGCCCCGAGCAGGTATGGTCAGGTTAGCTGCTCCTTAGCGGACGCCGGGGGCGTGGTAGTAATTCTGGGCCCCGAGCCATTCAAGGTCAGGGGCGCACGCTTCCATCCTGGGCCTTCCCCGCTCCAGGCCTGCGCCTGGCCAGGGACCCCGCGATTCTGCTGCAAGGCTAGGACAACACTAGCCCCAATCCAGGTACGAGATCAGGAAAGATCCCTTTGCCAGTGGAGACTCAGGCCAAACTGGGGCGAACAGGGGCTGGGATCCCGGCCTTGCCACTTACCCTTCTGTCTGTAAACCACTCTCTACTCCTGGGAGTCGCCTTTGACTCTTTTCTTCCTTCTTTCTTTCCTTCTTTACTCTTTTTTCTTTATCCCTTCTTTCTTTCCTTCTTTTTAATTTTCTTTCATCTTCAGTCTCTCTGTGTCGTTTTCTATCTTCACCTCCCATCCTCCTCAACTCTTCCTTCCAGAGGGACCCAGGGCTGGCTTGGGGAGAGCCTGGGGGGGGGGTGTTATTTTTCTCTGCGTGCTCAAGTGGAAGTCGAAATCTGCCGAGGAAGGGTACGCGTGGGGCTGCTGTTGAGGGCTGTGGATCTGGGCCTGGTGTGCCGCTGCGCAGACAAGGCCTCGGTTACGATCACGACCGGATGGCGGCGGCCTTGCGTTCCTACTCCGCGGGCCAGTAATGGCAGCCTAGGAGATCGGATTAGGGGGCATTCGCGGCGTTTTTGTGTGCCCACACCGAGGGCAAGGAGGCCTTCGACAGCCTCCCTGGGGACCTGAGGCTGGGACCTGGGCTGAGGCCCAGCCAGTCTCGGTAGAGCCTGGCAACTGCAGGGAACTCCGCGGGGAAGCTTCCTCCGCTCTCCCAGGCCTGCCGGTCCCTGCTCGGGCTTTAACCGCGATAAGGGAGCCCCGCTAGGGCAAAGATTGGCTGTTTGCTTGCCACTAGCTTCTATCAGGTTCAGAGTATGTTAGAAACGGCATCCATGTGTGGACGGGTGTTGGAGAAGGGGACCCTTCCAGCGCGAGTCTGTTTCAAAAAATAGGGGAAAGGAATCCTAAATTCCAGAACCGTTGGAATACAAACTTGAGTCCTTGTTCCAAGTTGTAGTCCACCGTTGGAAGGTAGTCGGACCATTCTCGCTACCCAGAACTGAAAACAATCTCCATCCCTCCGTACCCCCCGACACACACACACTCGCGGGCCTTCAGACTCATGCCCACCGAGCGGTGCTTCCCTTCGCAGCTCTGGCCGAGGGCCCGCCGTCCTGTTATCTGAAAGGCCGGCACAGCGCGTTCCTCTCAACTCCTGTCTGCCACTTTCTGGACCCGAGCATTGGATTTGTTTTGGAGGCCGAAGTTTTAGAACTCGCAGGCGAGAAGAAGCGGTTTGTAATTACACCAACTTATTTCTTTATGCACACGCAATTCTTTTCACTTCTAAAATAAAAGCAGACACAAAAGCCTGAATATTCTCTCCCCAAACCTCTGGGATGAAGAGGGATAATATTTGGTTTTGTAATTTTCCCCCCTTCTTGGCATCAGTAAGGACGACTAAAAACTCAACGCCTGCTAATTGTTTAGTAACCATCTTATTTTGGGGGCTAAGGCTATTTAAAGAACAGCCTTTTTATTTGGAAAAAATGCTAATAATAATTCGTGTCTTCTCTGGGTACAAAAAGTGCAAAGGCAGCCAGGCGTGTCCAATTACAATTAGGAGTGAAGGTTTTCTCCAAGGTTAATTTTTCTTAGGGAAAATCTCAGGGGCTCCGCGAAGTGCTCGAGTGTGGGACACCTTGGGCTGCGGTGGGGGTGGGGATAACGCGGAGGAATTTACAGGGAAAGGAAAATATTAGGGGGGAGGGGGCCGAGGCGGCCAGGACCAGCCACGTCGGAGTTCATTGTGCGCACCACTTCCCTCTTCCGGCGCCGGCGGAGGAAGGGGCACCCGGTTGGCCTCCTCTCGGCTTCGCAGCCTCACTCTGGTGGAGAGCCTGGCATGTAAGGATCTCCACCTGGGATCAGGGTTTTGGGGGAGATTACTGGAACCGTTAGGGCGGATGAAGGCAGCAAAGGAGATGGAAGCGCCCGAGGCCGCCCGCCCTCGCCGCTAGGGAAGTGGGCTAATGAGAAACACTCTTGCAGGCACAGTGTTCACACGTGAATTTAATTACCTCATTTTTCGGAGTCGCTGCTTTCTGTTCGGATTTGGGCTGGGTTCCCCCCCCCCCCCAATTAAGAGAGGCGAGGTCTTTTAATTTACCCCTGACTCTCAGGAGTGAGAAATACCCTCCTCAATTTGGCCAAGTTAAGGGATGGGATTAAAGTCAATGCCCCGTGCCCCTCCCCGTTTTAATTTCTAGCCCTGGACTTGAGTTGCGGCCGCCTCCGCTTTGGGCCTTGTAACTCTGCTGAGCCGCCCCGCCGGGTGGGTAACCGAGGCGGGCCCGGGGCGGTGGCCAGGAAGGATGGAAGGAAGGAAGGTACCCTGAAGGACTCATACTGAGTCCCGAGGCAAGCCGCTCCGGTGCAGGCCTCCCAGCTACTGGAGCCGCGGGGTCTCAGGCGGGGCTGCCTTTTTGCAAGCTGGACTCTCCTTCCACTGGTGCTGCCGCCCGCCTTTTTTCGCAGCTCTGGTTCGGGGAGCGTCATCAGGCTTGCAGAGCTCAGTATGAGGGCCTTAGAGGTCGGAGCACAGGGCTGGATCGCCTCCTGCGTCCGCAGGGGATCGTGCTTCTCAGCGGACGATGAACAGTGCGCGCTGAGCGCGCGTGTGCGGGGGCTCGGGCGGAACACGCGGCACAGCTAGGCTCTCAAACCCTTCGCCTCAGGGACGGCGGCCGCTCCTCGGTGGGGCCCACGCTGGAGGCGCAGGGGAGAATTTGGGAGCTGCCCCGGCGCCCCGCGCCCCAGGCTGGCAAATTCCAGGGGCCCGCGATAGGCGGTGCCCTCTCGGCGGCCTGTCTCTGCCCAGCGCGCCCGGGCAGGGGCAGTGGTGTCTCTGTTTCGGACGGATACTATGTTGAATTTGACTTTTCGCAGCCGGTCCGGAGTAAACTCGCATCTCTGGGAACCGCAGGGGTTATTTACAGGGAGCTCGCCAACCAAACACAACAGTCTAATTTAACCTTTCCAAGTCCTCGTAAATTTTTACAGCTGGGAGCCACGGCGAGGAAAACGAATCTGTTGGTGGTTCCCAACTTCCCACCAGCCTGTGTGGCTTCTGAAACAATAACTCCTTATGAAATATCATAAATATAGATTTAAATACAGTAGACGGAGAATGCGATTTGGCTGCTTTTTTATGGCTTCAATTATTGTCTAATTTTATGAGGGGCTCCGCTGGCCGCACTCGCACGCAGGACCCGCGCCTTGCTGATGGCGTGATTAATTGTGATATAAAATAGTCCGCTTAAGAAGTGTGTGTCTGGTGGTGGCGGTGGGAGGGGAGGGAGGGAGTACAGAGGCAAGGCCAGATTTGATCTTTTAATCTTCGTTGGCCACAATTAAAACAAACCCGATCGTGGAGCGCCGCGATCCCTTTGCATAAAAACATATGGCTTTTGCTATAAAAATTATGACTGCAAAACACCGGGCCATTAATAGCGTGCGGAGTGATTTACGCGTTATTGTTCTGCCGGGCGGGCACGTGACGCGCGCGGCCAATAGGGGCGCGGGCGCCGGCAACTTATTAGGTGACTGTACTTCTCCCCCTGGTGCCACCAAGTTGTTACATGAAATCTGCAGTTTCATAATTTCCGCGGGTCGGGCCGGCCGGCCGGGTGCGGGGCACGGCGATGGCCACCACCGGGGCCCTGGGCAACTACTACGTGGACTCGTTCTTGCTGGGCGCCGACGCCGCGGACGAGCTGGGCGCGGGCCGCTACGCGCCGGGGGCCCTGGGTCAGCCCCCGCGGCAGGCTGCGGCGCTGGCCGAGCACCCCGACTTCAGCCCGTGCAGCTTCCAGTCCAAGGCGGCGGTGTTCGGCGCCTCGTGGAACCCGGTGCACGCGGCGGGCGCCAACGCGGTGCCCGCGGCGGTGTATCATCACCATCACCACCACCCCTACGTGCACCCCCAGGCGCCGGTGGCTGCGGCGGCGCCGGACGGCAGGTACATGCGCTCCTGGCTGGAGCCCACGCCCGGTGCGCTCTCCTTCGCGGGCTTGCCCTCCAGCCGGCCTTACGGCATTAAACCTGAACCGCTGTCGGCCAGAAGGGGTGACTGTCCCACGCTTGACACTCACACTCTGTCCCTGACTGACTATGCTTGTGGTTCTCCTCCAGTTGATAGAGAAAAACAGCCCAGCGAAGGTGCCTTCTCCGAAAACAATGCTGAGAATGAGAGCAGCGGAGACAAGCCCCCCATCGATCCCAGTAAGTGTCTCCTCCCGCCATACCGGCCGCCGCCTCCACGCCGGCCACCTGGATCTGCCGGCCCGCCAGCTTTCTCTCAAGTCTGCCTTCGCCCGCGCTGGGAGCCTCCTAAGCAGGGGCCAGAGCCAGAAGTTGCTGTTTGGGACGCCTCGGATGGGGCCCCAAGTCCAGAGAGCAGTGACAAGTGGGCCCACAGGGCTGGGGGGAGGGGAGGCGGCTGCTGCCGAGAGAGGGGGCGGGGCGGGCGCTGCGGGCCAAGCCAAGACCAGTCGCCCCTCTCCCTGGCTGCCCGGGACCAGGACAGAGATACTTTGAGCCGTTCTTCGAAAGCAGCGCGGCAGAGAGTCTTTTGTGCGGCTAGATTGTCTGGGAGCAGCGGCAGCAACTGCAGCCGGGACACTGGGGGAGAAGGCCGATTCCCTCCAGTTCTCGCCTTCAGCCAGTGGCGGCGTAAATCCTGCCCAAGATGAGGCTGCAGGCGCCCGGGCCCCGCGAGTCCCCATGCCAGATTATTCGAATAAACTGGAGAAGTGATCAACGGCCTTGGGCCGCCCAGGGGCACCGTGCTTGCCTGCCCAGCTCCTGCGGCCTTTCAGGGAGGTCAATAAGGAGTGGGAGAGTAGAAGGAAAGGTGGGGAAGGGAAGACAGAGAGTCAGTGAGGAGCGAAGAGAAGATCAATCCTGCTACATGAACAGGGCAGCGTGGATTCTCCCTGCCTGGCAAGAAGCTCTGTTTCCACATTTCACTCGTACAGTGTGCGGAGAGTGGGAGGAAGGAGAGGAAAAGACGGGAGGACAGAGGAAGAAGAG